GTTCTCTAAATTGGGGTCCCCTTTAGGGTCCTCTTTATAAGATTTATAAGGGCGCCGTACTATGCTGGGGGTCTAAAGAGGGACCCTAATTTAGAGGACTACTCACATGCAGCGCTTGTAAAGAACCTTCACCCTACACCTCAAACCCTGAAGTAACGGACCCTAGAGAACGGTCGTCAACCCCCTTGAGAACTCCTAATATAGGGGCCTTAATAATTAGAATAGGGTTTTGGGGCCCATTAGACAAAAATAAAAATAAGGAGCCGCTAATATACTTAGTATCGGTAATTATTTAGGCCCCTACATTACTACAACCCTTAACTTAAACCCTCTCATGGAATCCCTAAGTTAAGCCCTCTCATAGAACCCCTACAAACCCTAAAACCGAAACCCTAAACCCTCAACCCTAAACCCTAAACCCTAAAACCCTTAACCCTAAACCCTAAACCCTAAACCCTAAACCCCTAATCCTTAAACCCCTAAAACCCTAAACCCTAAACCCTCATGGAACCCTTCGTTAAGCCCTAGGCGAAGTTCCCGGGCCCGCCGAGGTCTCCATGCTGTGGACCTGGACCCAGGCTGGCGCGCGGCGGTGGTGGGCGGCATCTGTGGGGCGCTCGTCCCCCAAACCCTGCGCTCTGAATCCTACATGTAAGGTGTGGTGGTTTTAGAGCCTTTGGGGGTGTTGTAGAGTTTTCTAGGGGCCTTATAATAATAATTAGTTATGTGTATTACTTTGGGGGTTCCTTGTTATAACTACGGTGCAACAGACCCCAAAACCCTACTCAAACTATTAAGGCCCCTACAGTATGCAAAGGCGAGGCAATGATAAAAATAGGGTTTTGGAGTATGTTGCAGTACAAAAGGAAGCTCTGTGGAATCAATAGTTGTAGTTTTTCATGTCCGTGTGTTAAGGCTTATCCGACTTTCAGTGCTTCAGAAGCATCTTAGGAAGGTCATGGGCAGTTGTAAGTGGAATTATGAGTCCTTTCATGTAGGTTATAACTATAGGTACCCTACTTATAAACCCTATACCCGAAACCCTAAACCCTAAACCCTATGAAGAACGACCCATGAACCCCAGTAGGGTTTCGAGCAGGGTCGGCCCCTACGACCCCAAACCCTGAACCCGACACTGAAACCCTGAATCCTCGAGACTGGAACCAAGCATGTGGAAGCCCGAAGCCATCCTAAACACCCAATCCTAAACCCTAAACCCTAAACCCTGAACTCTAAACCCTAAACCCTAAATCCTAACTCCTAAACCCTCAGCCTAAACCCGAAAAAACGCTAGACCCTTGACCCTAAACCCTGTTGGGGTGTTTGAGGTGCGTGCCTCAAGCCAAACACATGAACACTCAAGCCAAGACGCTGAACCCTAAACCCTACGTGCAAAACGGATTTCGTGTAGTAAGTGGCATTCCACTTCCAATTCCATTTCCAGGGTACCTCTTCGGGTTCTAGAAGCGTTCCATCAGGGTTTTCCGGGGTGCTTAAAGGATCGTGGGAGCTAGTAGGTTGGGCAAAAAGTAAAGTAGGTCTAGTTAGTTATGTCCACTTACAAACCAATGAAGACCTATAGCCTTACCTCTAAGTTCCATGTTCCTCTGAGCAATGGAACCAGTCGACTGCAGAGGTGGATCGAATCCCCCTGCCTGCCTGAAATACTGCTTTGGGGTTCCTTATTATAACTATAATATAGTATACCCCCAAACCCTAATTATTAAAGGTCCGTATGTCAGTTTGGAATGGCACCCTGCAGAAGGTGAAGGCATGTGCAACCAGTAAAGATCAAGTTAGACCAGTATTTTGTTATACAAGCCTTGTGCAACAGCTTCTAGAACCCTAAACCCTAAACCCTTATAAAACCCGAAAGCAACTCTTGTGAGGAGGCCACCTATCCTACTGTCCCCAATGCTGTGCCTTTTTCGTATGCATTTTATAGGATCGTACATATAAAATTGGTTACGCCAAAAAATTAACTACAAGGGAGACTGTAGCTAGACTCTAAACCCCTATAGTAACCCTCATAGTAACCCTTTGAATCACCCGTCTAGTTCCCTTAAAGCAACCCGTATCGTCACCCTTATCCCAGCCCTAAGGCATTAGACCACAAACCCCTAAACCCTAAACCCTAAACCCCTAAACCCCTAAACCCCCTAACCCCTAAACCCCTAAGCCCTAAACCCCTAAACCCCCTAACCCCTAAACCCCTAAGCCCTAAACCCCAAACCCT